AAAAATATCCTCAGATGAGAGTTAAAAAAATAAATTATATTTATACATACAATGATTTTCAAGGAGACTCTAATAATACTTTATAGAATCAGTTACATCAAACACTTAAAATTTCATTTGTAAATTTATTATAACTGGACCTTCCTAAGCACTAAGTATTAGATGATCAGTACATTAAAGTAAAAATACGGTGAATCATAAAAATGCCTAAGTCTTCCAGTACTTTTTACAAACTTATTAAGTTTTAAATTTAAAACAACTCTAAATCAATTTTCCCATGATGGTTAAGAAAATTATCATCTCATGGCTAAGGTTGGTGTGTTCTGATAAACCCTCTTCATTGTGGTCCAACCATTAACACAGAGTTTGTCATAAACATTCCTATACTTTGGTCTAAGTCTTCTGGGGGGGTTATTGTTTTGGCTATTTGGGGACCTTTGAGATTCCATATGAATTTTAGGATGAATTTTTCTATTTCTGCAAAAAATGTCTTTGGAATTTTGCTAGGTATGGCATTAGTTCTGTATTGCTTTGGGTGGTATTGGCATCTGAATACTATGCTTTCCGATCCATGAACATGGGCTGTCTTTCTGGTCTTTCACTCCTTTCCGCAGGGTTTTGTCGTTTTCAGCATACAAGCCTTTTGCATCCTTGGTTAATTTTATTCCTAAATATTTTATTCCTTTGGATGCTACTGGGAATGGATTTTAAAGAAATTTCCTTTTGAGTGTTTGTTGCAAGTGCGTAGAAATACAACTTGTTTTTTGTTGACTGTATATCTTAAAACTGTTGAATTCATTGGTTATGGTAATTCTTGGTGGATTTTCTACAACTTTAGGGTTTTCTACATATAAGAAATGTTGGGATTTTTTACTGGAATTGCATTGCATTTTTAATTTTGGAAAAAGTGATGCTATATTTGATTGTTTCTTGTAGTGGACTTTGAACTTGAGGACTTGTCTTTAATTCTGGAAATTCCTCTCTCTCTTCAAACGTGGCTCCTTCACCGTTTGCTCTTTCCTGGAACGCATGCTTGGTGTGTGTGAAACGTAGGCTCTAACCTCCATGTCGCTAACTTCTCTCTGATTGTTCTGTCCTTCTGACGTCTGTGGGTGAATTCCTTAGGACTGTTTTCTAAACTATGAATACTATCAAACCATGTCTCCAGCCTAGGGTGTGATTCATTATTGTTATTGGTATTATTTCAATAATTATTTATTGCCAAGACTTCTAGCTAGTTTTTAAAAATAGCTGTTTCTGCCCTTTTTGTTTCATGATTTGCTGGTTTCGTCTGAACAAAGTTAATCTTCTAATAGTAGATTCCAGTAGTTGAATGTCTCTCTCAGCACTGGAGTCCCTCACGCCTTGTGGAATTTTGGTTTGAATGGACTTTCCTGTTACCCCCTCACTGCAGTGTATTTAGGGGGCACAAAGCCTTCCTCACCCATTCCAAGGTGTGTTTTAAATGGCGATTTGGATGTGGAGCGTAAGGGAGGAAGGAATCAGGGTGAAGCCTTGGTTTTGGCTTAAGTAACAGTTGACGAGTCACTGGGGGGGGAGTCACTGGGAAGGAGCAAGGCAGAGAAAGAATCAAAGCTCTGTAGTCACCAGGATGTAACAACTCTGAACTTGATTTAAAAGGACATTTTTAATACTTACATTAAAGTTTGAAACAGGGCTCCTTAGATGTATAGTGTTTGATAAGCTTTTTTTAAAAAAAATGTTTTTATTGATTTCAGAGAGAGGAGGGGAGAGGGAGAGGGAGAAACATCAACGAGAGTCGTTGATCGGCTGCCTCCTGCACGCCCCCTGCTGGGGATCGAGCCCGCAACCCGGGCCTGGGCCCTGACCCGAACCAGACAAGGAATTGAACCGCGTCACAGGTCGGTGCTCAACCTCTGAGCCACGCTGGCCGGGCTGATACGCTTTTTTTGATATCCAAGTAGAAATGTTTAAAATGCAGTTGGATACCTGAGCCCAGAATTGCAGATTTGAGTTAAAGTGTCAGTTTGGCCGTAATACCCACAAGGTGGTATTCGGGTGACTCCACGGGGTGGGTCCCACATGGAGGGAGCCATGGGGCGCCCACGCTTGGAATCTGGTGGAGGGAAGGCTGGCGAGAGAGACAGGGTCTGAGCACCAGGCAGAGCGGCGGCCCTGCCGAGGCGGCGGCTCCAGGAGCCCGTCCCTCTCCCCACGGCGGGCCCCGTGTGGACAAAGCTGGAGAGAGACGGGGTGGACCTGCGGCCGAGCTGGGGGCGAGGGAGCAGAGTCGGGTGCTGCGGGCAGAGGTGGCTACGGGGCTTGCGTTTAAGTCGGGGTGTTTTCGGGCGACTGGGGCTGACGGACAGTTCTGAGCGCACCTCCCGCACCCTGTTCCCGGTCACCCTGCGGGGAGGGGGCGCGGGGCACGCCCTG